AAAATCCAACGTCAGTCGGGTAAAGCTTATAAAAATACGAAAGGAGAACAAATGCCAAAAAGATCTATTGTTGCACTAAAAAGTTGCAGAAATTGTAAATTTAAATGTTCTACCAATATATCTGAGATTGAGCGTCAAATAATATTTGATAACTTTTGGACCTTAGATGATGACGGAAAAAAACATTTCTATTCTAAAACTACTGAAAATCTGGAGAAAAAACGCTGTCGGACAGCTGCTGGTGACAATTCAAGAAGAAAAACATCTTATTATTATAGCTTTTTTGTTTCTAATACACAATATAGAGTTTGTAAATCATATTATCTTTCAACATTGAATATTAGCAGCCATAGAGTGTTTTACTTTCATAAGTTTAATAAATCTTTAACTACTGGAACACCATTGCAATCAAAATCAGGGAAACATGTTAAAAAAAGGTTACTAGAAGAGTCTAAACAAGTTGTACGAGACCATATTAACCTTTTCCCAAGAATTGATGCTCATTATAGCAGGAAAAAGACACATAAAGAATACATGGAAGGATCACTAAATATAGGTAGAATGTATGATCTTTATAAAATATATTGTGATGAAAATGTCTCTCCTCCAGCAAAAGAACATATGTATCGTTATATCTTTAATCACGAGTTCAATATAAAATTTCAAAAACCGAAGAAAGATTTATGTGACACATGCTATGAGTATCGCAACATTGTTAATGCAAGCAATGAACAAACAGATAGTTATAATAAGCACATAAAATCAAGGAATGATACCAAAACTGAACGTGAAAATGATCGAACGTGAAAATGTTGATTCTAAAACTGCAATTGTTTGTATTGACCTTGAAAATGTTTTAAATTTGCCTAGAGCTAATGTGGGAAACTTTTATTACAAACGAAAACTTTCAAATTATAACTTAACTGGTCATTGCTCGCTTAACAGGAAGGGTTATTGCATCCTTTGGCACGAAGCCATGACTGGTCGTGGAGGTAATGATCTAGCCAGTGCTGTAACATGTTTGCTTTTGAAAATCATGGCTGACCTTGACATAAATAAGTTCATACTTTGGTTCGATTCATGTGTACCACAAAACCGCAATAGTTTCATGTCAGCAGCTTTGTGTGAATTTATAATACGATACCCACAAATAAAAGTAATTGAACAGAAGTTCTGCGAGCCAGGTCATTCCAGCATTCAAGAATGTGACAACATTCATAGTCAGATTGAAAAATCCCTCTCTGCTGCAGAAATATTTAGTCCACTTGGGCTAGAAAGAGCTATTAAAAATGTAAACCGTAAAAAACCTTTCTGTGTTTACCAAATGCAATTAGGAGATGTAAAGAATTTTTCAGTTGTCGCTGGTTTGTCAAGTTATAAGTTAGTGCCTTATTCAAAGGTTAAAAATCTTGTTTATCGAAACGGACTGCCATACCATGTTTTTTTTAAAACCTCGTTTTCAGATAATTATTCACAAGCTCGTATAAATAAGTCTGTCAAGAAAGCAGCATCAACCATTGTTGCAAAACCATTAAATACCAATATACCAATGGCAGCTTGCTTTCGTGCTTCTTATCAGTCTATATCTGTTGCAAAAGCCAATGATATCATTTCCATGTATTCATACATGCCTGCTGTTGATATTGCATTTTATAAAACAATAATAAATTGAACATTTACAAAACATTAATAAAGTCAAAATATTTTTAGGGTTGTTATATGTTTAGTATAAATATAAATAACATATTTATATATATATAATAATATAAATAATATATATATATAAATAACATATTTAAATAAAATATTTATTTAGTATAAATATAAATATAAAACACATTGAAATAATATTATTTTGAAATCTTGATAAAAATTTTTGTTTAGCTTGTGTTTTTTTTGTTTGTTTTTTTGTACTTTTATATTCATTTTCCCCAACTTGTTTGGTTTGGATGGTTTTCCATAGTGACATAAAGGCCACTATGAAAGAGTTAAAGCAATGTTTCACAACCTGATGCCCTTCCTGACGTTAACTTGAGTAACAATTTTTTATTTGTAAATATTTGCAATAACTTTTAATAAAAAGTTAAACTCTATTAATGGATACTCAGGCATAAGAAAAATAAAATCAAGTTCATCTTGCATGGAGTTTGTGATTAGATTATTTGAATTGTTGTGAATTATCAGATAGTTACATAATGTTATTTCTTTTATTATTACATTTTTTTTAACATAACTCTTTCCTATATACCTTTTATAATTTATTTTATACGTTTATATTATATTAATACGTTTATATTATTATTACGCAGCCAAATTTTCCGTTTTAAGTTAGACGTCTTAGTCTTGTCCAGGGCCGGCGCCTACAAGTAATTAAAGTAAATGTAAGTCGTAAGAACAGTGTCGTTAGAGGCTCTTCTAAAAGTTCTCCTAATTAGGGCCTCATTTTATTTAAAAAAACTTAATTTTTTAGGTAATACAAAAAGCGTCTTATATTTTGAAAAGGGTCCCGTTAAATTAGGGGCCCATGCCCCTAATTTAGGGGCCCATGCCCATAAATTAGGAGTGTATGGTACTGCGTAAGAATAATTAGCAGGTAGAACAAAATTTCATCAATTTCTAACATGTCGTTGCTGAAAAATGTACTTAATATGTTTAATATATATGATGTAACAACATAATATTTTTGAATTTTACTAAAAACCAAAGTTATTTTGTTCTATCTCCAAAAGAGGGTGCGAAAAAAAGGGCGTTAGCGTAATTTTAAAAAGTTTTTTTTATCTAAAAATTAATAATAAAACATTTTTAAATCTTAGGAAATACCTAAATTCTCAAAATATTTTTTCAATTTAGCTGCGAACAAATTCAAACTTTGACATCGATTTTCTCAGTTTGCAAAAACATGGAGATAGCACAAGATAATTCTAACGTCGCGATTTTTAGCGGAGTCGGAGTCGCTAAACAAAATCGCGACTCTGACTCCAATAGTAAAATTTCCCGGTATTACACGTGTATGTACAAAACATTATGTTCATACTAAACCTTAAAAAACGTTTCTTAAATTTATCAAAAAAAGAATTTTTAACTTTTCGCGTAATATTTTTTTAAGAATTCGAAGAATTTTTTAAAAGTTTTGCTTTGGAGTTTGAGACGGAGTTGAAGCAATGGCCAGAAAAATAACATAAATAAGGAACATATTTACCTAAAGTTAAATAGTTATTGAAATCCTACAGTCAAATTTTTAGACAATTTATTTCAAATAAATAAATGATTTACACTAAAAAGGTGTTAATTAAAAAAAAGATGGAAGCGTGTCAAGATCTTAAATTATTGTTTTTAGTTTTATTTAGGGGCCCCAAGAAGACCTTACGGCCTTATCATAGAGCACCGCGGATGAGCATTTAATTGGAAGTTCATGTTTCTTTCCTAACCAATGTCGCAAGACTTGCCCGGAGGTGGGGTTTGAAGATTTGATTTATATTTATACTGATCAACGTTAAAAAGCAACTGGATTGAGTTTTCAGAAATCAATTAAAAACTGAACGGTTAGCATATAAAGTATTCTCTGTAACCCTAAACCCTAGCCATTTTAAAAGTTAAAATTTTTTTCTTACGCGTTGCGTATATAATCAGCGTTTTGTTGTAATATATAAATGACCGTGACTAATTTGAAACTATAGAAATTTGCAGGCTTCATCCATAAACTACGTCACCCAATTATTGACCCCCTTGTTACAAAGTCGTAATTCTTAAGTATCAAATCCTGCACGAATTGTCTCAAAAACATTGCTTTAGAAAAAGACGTAATTTATGGACTAGTTAAATTAATGATGGGCGTCTTTCAATCTTAGATTTTGTTTAAATTTAATTCTAACTTAAAATATTTTTTATCTAAAAATACGTTAACTAAACTTTTTCACGTAATTATATATATTATAATTTAATTTTTGTTATATTATTATTGTTAAAAAAAACAACAAAAAAAAAAAATCTGCGTATAAAATTTTAGAAAACCATATCCTTGATTTTCAAATATTCCAACTCATGATTTAACTTGAGTTTTTAGCATCAGTCACGAGACTTTATTAGAATTTATTAGAATTTTATTAACATCACGTTTCTTTCTGTTCAGATTTTAAAAATATGGTGCTATATATAAAATACATAAAACATAACAAAGGCATTTCTTACTTCTTCAAATGTGATTTTTAATGTTTATGGAGAATATACGTTACATAAAAACTGTTTTGAAGTTAGAAAGAATAAGTCAATTGATCGGCGCTATGCGGTGTTTCTAAATAATTATGCTCATTAAACGATAACCCAGACTTTTAATTAAACAACTTGTTAAACATGTGCACAACTTTTTAAACATGCGCGCTTCACACCAGTTAAGTACTTGTATAGATTATATAATCTTGTAAAATCAAATTTCTATATTTTAAAGAGAAAGTTGGTTTTCATTTTATCAAACCCCTTGCGCGCAAGTCAATGGACATTTAAAGCAAAGAATTTATGAAGAGTTTATTTACAAAACGTGGTATCAACAATGTTGTTTTCGCGTGCCAATTTAAATAAATAAAAATTTTAGGTAATTTTAAAAACAGTAAATAACTAATAATAAATTATATATATATATATATATATATATATATATATATATATATATATATATATATATATATATATATATATATATTACTGAAATGAAACCGAAATTTTATTAAAGTACACTTTCACCCGCAAATTATTAAAAGCGGCTCATAAAAACTAAATCGGATTGCTTTTTTTTTTTTTTTTTTTTTTTAAATAATAATATAACAAAAAAAAAAAAAAAAAAGCAAAGAATATATACAATGCGCAAATATTCGCAGCAAAAGGACAGTAATTAATAATAAACATTTTTGAAAACAACTTTGGCAGGTAGTTTTCAAGTTATTAATAATTTTGGCAGGTAGTTAATAATTTTAGCACGATATTTACGTGTACAATAAAATAATCGATTCACCGTTTATACACATTTTTAAAGAAGATAATCTAAATTGAAATGACGGTGTTTTTTTTATATAAAAACTAAAAATGATTTCGCATCCCATTATGTAGTATAGTCACGTGTTAACTCTCCATTCTCAAGAGATTTGGAATCACACGAAGGTTTATCTTTCGTCATATCTTTTGATATGTTTTCAATAACGCTGGAAAGGTACTCTGGCAAAGCCTTGAAAGGAGTTTGGCTAGGCGTAAAAAAGTGATCACTGCGTCTAGCAAGCAGTCGAAGTGCTCTCCATTGAAAATTAGGTTGTTTGACCAACTTATATTCATCTTCTATTCCTGCATTAGGATCTGCTTGTTCAATAGCTTTTTCAAAGAAATCTTTTAGATTCGGCAGAAATTTAAGTCGAGATTCTACTTTTGCTGAAGCTAAATTGTCTAAATTAAATTTTCAAATATATTCGCACAAATTATTAAATTTTCAAATTCACACAAACTATTAATATAGTATTAAGTCAATAAAATATCGTTTGAAGTAAAAAAAAAAAAAAATAAAATAAAATATAAAAAGTAAAAAAAATAATTAAAATATTAGGATTAAAGTTGAAAAATATTTTTTTCAGGTTATATAATTGCCAAATTAAAAATGAATCAATAGCATAACTTTAACTATGCACAGTACGAATATTGAAATAGGTGACTAAAATATAATCGTTTAATTAAGTAAATTAGAGACTTAAGATAATATAAAACAATTTTTTTTTTGTTTAACAAGCTCATAGGCGCAGTGGGTCAGAAATCACTTTTAGTGGACAAAACTAATAACTCGTCATATAAAAAAGATTTAAGAACCATTTTTTCACTGTTTTTTTAACTTTGGGATGCTATGGATGCCTAAATTGCTTAACAACCACATATTTTATTACCTTAACAAATATAAAATAGGAAAAGTAGGATTTCTCCCATAATTACCACATTGAGTATTTTGGTAGTACTAATGTAGTGGTACTATGGATTTTTTATTTGGTTGATAGTGACACCTAAAATGCATGACGCTTCATTTTGCATAGTTACTAGCTTAAGTAATTTTTCTCATCAATGCTATAACTAGAATAATGATAATGTGGCAGTCTGATTAAATTTAAAAATTGAACACATTCCCAATTACTAATTTTAAGTATTTTTATGCAGTTTCAAGGCTCTATTTTAAATTTCATGAAACTAATACATAATTCATATAAAAAAAACCCCCAAGTTTTAACCTTTTTGTGTATATAAAATATTAGGATTAGCTAACTTCAGGTTTTCTTGTATTATATACTTATAAATATCAATACTTTTAATGTTTTATTTATATAAAAATATAAATTTTATTTACAAAATTTTACAAGTAGGTATTTTAGAATGCATAATTAATAAAACAAGTTTGTAACACTAATCTAATCTTAGTGAGATCCAATTATCAAATAACCATTTAGAATAAAATAAACATTATGTTTTCGCCACATAAAATCAGATACATCATTTACCCGTGGGAGATAAGCTAGCAACTACTTATGGGTAAAGGACGCGTTAAAGACGTCTAAAATACGTAATAATCCGTGTTTTAGACGTTTTAAAAACGTCTTACGTCAACTAGCTTATATTTTTTCACCGAGTAACTTGCAAAAATCATTAATAGAGACCAGGCAGACATCCGCGGATTATAAAATTGATAATACCATGGCCTACTATAATTACACGGCCTGATTTGTTGCATTTTCCGTAAAAAATTAAGAGGCCAGTTTTTTTACGGCTAACGTTTGAAAGCTTGAATTCTTCTGTTAGTATTGTGAAAGTTTTATACATATTTTATTAAAATTGGAAAAAATGACTCGGATTTCCTTGGTGTAGTTACATTATGTTATACTGGATTTTTCGCTAACTGATTGCCTGCTTCAGTTTATTCCAGTAAAACAGAATACTGAAATAGGCTTTCAGATAGATATATATAAACATGGTACTTAAAATAACATTACATGTTGCAAAGACCATCTACAAATCTTTAGTGGAAATAAAATCAAAGGTTTGTTATATTGTTTTTATTATAATTGAATCAAACAGTATAAAAGAAATAGCTTTTTATTAGGAATTATTATTGGTTCTCTGTCTTTTTTTAAATTGTTTCACCTGATCTTTTCTTACTGAATCAGTTGTTTCTTTTTGCAAATTGTTATAAAAGATATTTATAACGATACGAGATCCATATTTTATACCCAACTCTTGGTGATTGTCACAAGTAAAACCAACACTGCTGTAATAATTTTTAAAAATTTGTTCTGCAAAACTTTTAATTGAAAAAGAATAACTGCAATGTTTGATTAAAATAGGAGATATGACATCTAAAATACTAAAAAGATGACAAATATAATCAGACAGAGGTTGACTTGGACATATAAGTCCACCTCTGGATAATATTTTCAAGTATTCATTATTAAGAATATCTTGGTCTGTAGATACCATTTTTTGATTACAAGTATGACATCCAAATTTTTTTTTCAACTTTTTTGCGACATACCCTGCTATTGTAACAGCAACTTCCATGCTATCTTCAGAAAGCTGACACTCTAAAATCTCTGTAGACAACAAATCAATTTCTTGCATAATATTTTCTAAACTAGAATTATCAAATGTCTGATAAATATTTTCTTCCTAGAAATTAATATCTTCCTTTAGAAGACTTCTTACTGCCAAAATTTTTTCACTATTGCATACTTCTAAAAGACACTAGAAATCTGCCACCACTCATTTGTCTATACTTACTAAAACGTAGCTCCAAAGGATCACTTTGTAACCTGGAAGTAAGAACATATGTATAGTCTTCTTCAAGCAAATCATCGATAAGAGATGCAGTTGCCCGTAATGTTGTAATAAGAGCAAGAGAAGTTTGTTTGGAAAATGTGAAATAATCACATTTTGACCAAATATCAATCCAATTTGCAATTTCTCTATAAAATGTGGGCTTGTTATCACCCTTCACGGCAGCATTGCCAAGTTGATTGGATGTATTAAATTTCTGCTTTGAATTAAGTGTGATGAACAACTTATGAAACAATGATAAAAATTGTGCTGCATCATTTCTTTCAGGAAAATAACTTAGTATTGCAGCTGTAGTTGTTTCATCAAATATTGGCAATGCAAGGTTGACATCTTGTTTGTTATTTCCAGGATGAGTGATGAATAATTGATTTTTCTCGCTTTTTTTAAGTTGCCGTTTAATAACTGATCTTTTTCATAGATATTATGAAATAAACTCCATGCTATGTAACCAGCAGGAACTTCAACTTTGTCTTTAAACAAATCAAATGAAAAAGAAGGAAAAACATATTTTTTTGCATTTAACAAGTTATTTCTAACATTTTTTATTAAATGGATTATATCGAACAACAAGTATGTTTTTAATACTCCATTGTAAACTGGATGACATATAAATAACTTTCCATCTCCATTATATGCTTTATGAAACTCTGAAAATGCACTAACATTGGTAGAATGATTATCTGCAACAACAGCTCTTACTTTAAATCCAGATTGGTGCAATGAGATAATGCATTCATCAATTTCTTTTTTTAACCATGAACCTGTTATATACACTTCAGGTGATGATCTCACAACATAAGGAATAGATTTTTGAAGCCCAACAATCATAAAAACAACAATACCTTTATAAAGATTACTTTCTGAATCTTCACCAACATATTTCCCACTTTGATATTGGGCTGCTTTTTGCAAATACATTTCATCCACAAGAAGCACACAGTCACTTGATACACAATTTTTTTGTAACAAAACTTTTATAGCCTTAAATGCATTTATATCACCACTTTGAATTTTTCTTAATAAACTAAAAGATGGTAAGGGTAATTGTTCTAACAACAACTTATATGACTGTGCTGAAGTGTGACGTAAAATTAATGCATATCGTATAACGGAAGCAGAATATGGAGGTCTGCCTTGTGGAGAATAGTATCTTATTTCATTTAGCTCTGTCAAAATTGAATTAAAAGCATTAGCTTTATTTCGAATATGGGCAGGAAAATTTTCTATCATACTACAGTTTGTTAATTTGCAATTATGACCACTGCGAAACCATTCAGGTAAAGAAATATAATATCCTTTATACGACAATGAAACATTAAGATCTTTATTAACTGTTATTGACTCAAACACAGTTGGTATACCTGATATTTCATCAAAACAGAGTTTATAGAAAACAACACTATCGTGAAGTTTCTTAAATGTAAATCTGGTGGGCAATGCTGTTCTTTTAACGAATTAAGACTAATTATTTTATCAATATTTTGAAAATCACTGAACTCATCTTTTCCCAAGTATCTTAAAGTTGGTTCTTTTCTAGGCAACTTTGGCACCCTTAAAGTTGATGAACTACTTTTTTTATCTGTGTGAATAGTTGGAATAGGTTGGAGATCCCATTTCATGGTGCATCTTTTCCCATATTTAATAAATTTATCCTCGAAATGATCAATACAAATAGCAGAGTATTTAGATGGAAGCCAATCTTTTCTATTGACAAAATATATCCATCGTTCTCGCAAACTGCTTTCTTCAGGAAAATGAAATGTAGACTTTTTTGGACCAGTAGAGTAACCAGTTTTACAGTTTGTGACAACACATTTGTTAACCATTTTTATAACTAAAAAAAATTTCAAAAACTACAATAATATTGAGATTTCTTACATTTATAATTGAAGTTATTTCCACTTGAATAACATTGCATAAAAAAAAGCAGTTCGACTGTATACAATATACCAAGTAGACTGTCTGTAAGTCTATTTTATTATTCCACTCTCTAATGGATTATAATGAAACAGACAATCAGTCAGAATATAACCAGAAATATATACTACATGAATATGAAAATATAAACCAAACTTTGATATAATAATTGTAATAATCACATTATTTTAATTATTAAATATTGTTAGTTGTCTTATAATAGAAAATAAGCCGTAAAAAAACTGGCCTCTTAATTTTTTACGGAAAATGCAACAAATCAGGCCGTGTAATTATAGTAGGCCATGATAATACAGATATTGAACAATGTATTTTAAGTCTCAAACTACTGGATCGCTTTGGACCGTAAAAGTATTCAACTATATAAGTGAAATTTTAACTAAAAAAAGTACTTCAAATAGGACGTCATTTGAAATCATTTTATTTGACATAACTTACATGCTAAATAGTGTTGTAATAGCTCATTCAGAAGATTTTATTAAATTATGCAATAAAAAGAAAGGTTTATAGTTAACATCTATTACATGCTTATTAGTAACATAAAAAATACTATTAAATTAAAAAAAAAAATTTAGAATATTTTTTTTTTAAAAAAAAAAGCTTTTTATTCTACAGTTGAAAAGCTGCATGATAATTATACAAAA